CACCAACCAAATTTTCAGATATGTTAAAGGCCCGCATGGATGCAGCGAATGAGAATGATAAACCGCTGTATGAGGCCCTCTATCAGAAAGAGTTGGTTGAGGAGGAGAAGGCGGAAGAGGAAAAGCGGAAAACAGCCGCCGATGAACTTGACGCCATTTTTCAAACGGTTCCGAATGTATCTGATGTAAACCTTAAGAAAGATCTGGTTGTGTATGTACGTGCTCTTGTTGATTACCACTTGCTCAGCGAACTTCCAAGTGTGAAGTCCCAATTGCTCGAGGAAATGAGTAAGATGCATACTCAAATGGTAGACATGGCCAAAGAGCAACGCGATCAGATCCAGCAAATGGCAGCCATGCATCAGACCCCACTCTCAAGTTCTCTTCCTCGTTCTAACTTTGCACCCCTCCATCTCTCTCCTTCTTCTCAGTCTTCTTCGATGAGTGTGGTGATTCAGCCAGGACCTGCAACGGGTGCAGTTCCCATTGCCGTTACAAGCGGCAGTGCAGGAAGTTCTGCAACTGACGCAGCCCTGGGATCGGATCCAACAGCAATAGTTGGACCCAACTATGGCAGTCCATACATGGACAGGAAGGCGGTGATGATACCGTCTAAGTATGACGACAAGGAGGACTTTTGAGTGTTGGATCAGCTCCATGAGAGCTTACTTTGAAGTAAAAGTCACTCAAAGAGTAAGCCAGTCCTTGATCCTGGGAACCAACGTCGAGTCTGTCGTAAGGGGCTTCCTTGAAGTCCAAGCCATGCAAGCTGGGTACGCAAAGATCAACCTATCTGAGTGGCTTAAAGTCACACCGGTCACCACTCTGGAGGACATACTCGTTGCACAATACAAGGACCCGCATGCTGTTGCAAGGGTAAGGATACAACTTGATGAACTCAAGCGCAACAAGTGGCAGGGCACCATGCATAAATTGCAATTGCATGTCAGCAAGCTCTTTGCAATGCTAGGATTGGAGTTGACTGCACAATCATGCTAGGATGTAGTTAAAGGTACGGTTCCCACTCACTTGACTAAGAGCCTAGGCAGGAATTTTTTCGGTTATACTGACTGGTTCTCTTTAATGAAGGATGTAGTTTGGAGGCAGGAGACCTCCTTACCGCAGCAAGCAGCAAAAAGACCTTCGTTCGTGGGCAATTTCGTGGCAGCAATCGCTTAGCTTCGCTTGACTTGCTGGAAGGGGAAGGGGAGGCCGAAGCAGACGACCCCACTCTTGGCGATGGCCAAGAGCAGGATGCTGATACAACCTGCTCTTCAACTCAAGAAGTTGACATAAATAATGATGATGATAAATTGTGTGCCTTTAAAAAGACTGCCCATGGGAAGGGGAGCCAAAATAGGAATTCGGTAAGGAGCTTCGTCGCACTTCCAAAGGGACCCAAAATCCCAACCAAACCGGAGGATGCAACTACTAAACCTTGGGTAGACCTCCGGATCAGTGAGGCTGAATAAAAGGCCAGAATGAATAAGGGAGGTTGCCCGCATTTCTTGAAAACGAACCATAAAGTACAAGATTGCTACAGGCTGCATAGAAACCAGAATCGGGCATAGAGTTGGCCTCAACACCCTCTACGGCAAGGGAGACTGAATATGATGAAGATCAGCAGTCCTCTTTTGAAGTCCCGTCATCTGCTGATTCCGAGGCTGAAGCCTGTCATGCGTTGTATGTTGAGCCTTGGGAGGTGTCTGCGACGGTTGACTTCCACTATCACTTAGAGCATTGGGCTGAGATGAAACATCAGCGTGCTCAAGGGACAGTGAAGTTGATCTTCTTTAAGCTTCTCATAAACCTCCGCTATCTCCGTGTCTTGATTGATTGTGGTGCAACAACTAATTTTATGTTACCACAGGGGATACGCAAAGTGGGCTTGGGGATGAAGCAAGTGGCTCTGTAGAACCCTTGCCGAACTCGAGTAGGCAACCAGGAAGTTGTCTCATCTACGCATGTAGTCAAAGGTGTGCGCATTACCTTTGACAAGGACAAGATAGCCACCCATGAACTGAACTTCTATGTCCTTGACAAGTGTCCCTTCGACGCAGTCCTTGGCTTGGGCTGGTTGCAGTCCCAATGCGAATGGACCAAGTGGAAGGAGTCACTTTTCATGGTCAAATATGCTCAAGGGAACGAGTTTCCCGTCCTCTTGGATGAGAAGCACGAATCCCTAGTGACTTTTCTCAATGCCATGCAATTCTGCAAAAAGTGGCGCAAGCACAAAGAGGATGAACAAATGTATGTTGCCTATGTTCTCCCTACTCGTGTGCCATCTACTTTTACGGCTAGTATCAATCCTACTTCATCTAATGAGTCTACTTCTAATACTCCTACTTCTCCACCCAAGACTAGTCCAAATGATTCCACTTCAGATTCAGTTGCTTCCATTCGCAATCTGCGACCTGATCTTGGTGACCCATTCGTTGATCCTTCGCCCCCACCAGTCCCAATAAGCATGCAAAACCTACTTGACCGGTACCCGGAAGTTATGGCCGAACCATGTGGAGTCTCCACACGATCGGTCCGACACACAATCGAGCTGGTCGAAGATGCTATTCCTCCAAAGGGCTGCGTGTACCGAATGGGACCTGGCGAGTTGGAGGAATTCCGAAGACAAATCGACGAAATGATTGACAAGGGTTGGATTAAACCTAGTGAATTTGAATTTGGTGCACCTGTTTTGGTTGTCCCGAAGAAAGGAGGCAAGCTTCGTATGTGTATCGATTATCACGGTCTAAATTGCATCACCAGAAAGAATGTATATCCATTGCCATGCATAGATGACTTGCTTGATGCTGTCGGTGGGTGCAAGGTCTTCTCCAAGATCGATCTCAAGTTTGGATACCACCAGATTGAAGTCGATCCGACGGACCAGCACAAAACTGTGTTCAAGACACGCGATGGGCTTTACGAGTTTACCGTAATGCCCTTCGGCCTCACAAACGCACCAGCCACCTTTCGAAGCCTCATGGACAAGGTCCTCCGCCAACAAATTGGTTAGTTTGTGGTAGTGTATCTCGATGATATCCTGATTTTCAGCAAATCTATCGAGGAACACATGAAGCACCTTGAGGAAGTGTTCACCATCCTGAAGAAAACGCAACTCCATCTCAACTTAGAGAAATCTGAGTTTGGGAGGGATAGCGTCATCTATCTTAGGCATCGGTTGTCTGTTGCAAGCCTTGAGCCTGAGGCAACCAAGGTTGAAGTCATACGTGACTCGCCACAACCGGCGAACATTCACGAACTGCGTTCTTTCCTTGGTCTCGCGTCATATTATCGGAAGTTTGTGCCCCGATTCTCTATTGTTGCTCGGTCGTTATCCCAAATGACTAGTAAGAATATACCTTACGCATGGGATGCAACATGTGAGACCGCATTTCAAGCTTTAAAAGAGGCCTTTGTAAGTTACCCTGTACTCCGCATTGCAGATTCCAAACTAACATTCGTAGTCACTACGGATGCTAGCCAATACGGGATTGGTGCAGTGTTGCAACAAGATGACGACGATGGCTTGCGGCTGCTCGAGTACTACAGCAAACGCATGCCTAGCGAAAAGGTAACTACTTCCACCTACATGCGCGAGCTCTATGCTTTGCGTATGGCTTTGGATCAGTGGAAGCACTATCTTTTGGGAGGACACCACTTCAGAGTGTTCTCCGATCATGAGACCTTGAAGTGGACCAAACAGTAAACCACTTTGTCCCCTACTCTACTGCGCTGGTTCCATGAGATTGACATTTTTTATTTTGAACTAAGACATAAAAAGGGTTGTTCTAACCGAGTTGCTGATGCATTGTCTTGCCACCCTCAGTACATGACTTGCCTTGTGGGTTCCTACGACCCCCGGAAGAAATTGAAGGAGGAGATTGTAGAACATACTGCCAAGGATCCGGACCTTAGTCCCATCCTTGAGCAGTTACAGGCTGACCCCAACAGTCAGCCTGATTTTCACGAAGATGGAGTGGTTTTCCGACGTTATGGGAATCACGACCGTTTGTGCGTACCCAACCATGAGCCTCTCCGCACACACTTCTTGGACTTGGCTCATGGCCGGAGCGGACACTTCGGCATGACAACGATGTACGGAAACTACTAAGACAATTTGATTGGCCCGGTATGAAGGGATCGGCTGAAAAGTTTGTGGTTGAATGTCAAGTCTGTCAACGAATCAAACCATGTAGACAAAAGCCCATGGGGCTACTCACACCCCTTCCCATTCCCGATGGACCCGGGGAGTCCGTCTCCGTCGACTTCATTGACATGGGAAAGGTAAGCAAGAATGGCTATTCGCAAGTCATGGTGATTGTTGACCGCTTTTCTAAATTTCTGAATCTGATTCATGCCCCAACTGAATTGGTGATCCGTGAGTTCAAACAGAAGTACATTCTGCAGTTCGGAACCCCGAAAACTCTTGTGAGTGATCGGGACCCGCGCTTCATAAGTACCGAATGGAAGGACTTCACGTCCCAACTCCCTGGCCTCAAACTATGCATGACATCTGGGCGACATCCCGAAGCCAATGGTTTGGCTGAGGAGATCAACCAGACTGTGTTTCAACTTCTCCGCGCTTTAATCATTCCGGATCAGGAGACATGGGATGAAGAGCTGTATTCCGTCAAGGGGTTGTACAACAACTCCATCCATTCTGCCACCGGCATGACACCAAACAGGCTGCATTACGGTTGGCAGATTCGAAACCCGCTCTCCTACCTGTTCCCTGAACAGCCAGCTGGTTTAACACCCGGTAGGTGTTACATCTTCGACGCCACACGGGTCCTACCGGACCCGACTTAGGGTTAGAGGGACACAGTAGGGCCTAAAGGCCCGACCTTGGGGGTACTACAGGCCGTAAAGGCCTCACTTTGGACCAGACCCGACGGGCAGGCCCAAACGACATTACCGTTTGGGCCTGGCGGCGCTCTTGAGGCTGCCGCCCGCCGGTTGGGGCTGAACCGTCCATCTTGACGGTTCAGGGCACGGCCAGGCCTCGCAGCATTGAGGCCGGCATCTGCCCCACCGGTACAAAAGTACCGGTCCAGCCTCTTTCAGGCTATCGACTCAATGACACTCTAGCGGTGCGGTATGGTACGRCGCGACAGCGCTGGCGCTATACTTAGCGCAGGAGCACGAGGAGCGGCAGCGGCAGCGGTAGCGCAGCAGCGGCAGCGAGCAGAGCAGCAGCAGCGGCGACTGAGCAGGATCGGCGGCCATAGCCGCCTGAGGTATCGGGAGTCGGAGGTTCTCTCCTCCCTCCCATCGCCAGTCCCCTCTCTCTCTCTCTCCTCCTCGGCTCCCTTTTCCTTCTTCTTCTTCTTCTTCTCTTCAGACTTCATCTCTTTCTTCTTCTTCTCTTTCTTCTTCTTCAGACTGGAGACTTATACTAGTTGGACAGAGATCAGAGTTGGACTTCGGTGGTAAGAGGCTGTGGTACTTACCGGGTTCGAGACTTGGAGATTGTTGGGGATGATACTCGGCTGCATCACAGATTTGACACCGGTTACATTAGGACTCTGTATCTCCGACATTGGTGACTTATTGTCCTCGACATTTTGATCTTGTTCGATGACATTTTGGATTACCATATCGGGGACCTACTGGTTTCTATCTCGGTGACATTTGGTGCTACCTACATCTCCCACCTCCCTCGTCTCCCCTCCCACCTTCATCTGTGTATGTTTGTTCGGGGCTGAGCATCGTTTATGTATGGCTCAGACCCCACCATCTCACGATTGTATGTGTGTGGAGTGATATCTATGTGAGTCAGTCCGTTTCGCAGACTTCCGCTGCATATATGCTCATCGTACATTGGTTGATCTTTGATTCTGCCCATACTCATTGAAGTATGTAACAGTTTTGGTATCGGAGCAGACCATTTTACGGATCTGCTCACGAGGTAAGTCTGATTAGGAAGTAGATTGCTTTTCAATCGTCCAAATCAGCTCTGAATTACTATCCAGTTCAAAGTTGCAATTTTTTTTTTTTCTTTTTTCGGTATTCTGTTTATTTCGGCATTTCCGTTCAAATAGGTATTCGGACTTGTAATTCGGATTTCCGTTTTACTACGGTATGCTGTTTAATTCGAGTTCCGATAAATTGATACTAATCCGACATTCCATTTAATTCGGATTTCTGAATAATGATTCATGATTAGGTTGAAATCAGTACTCTGTCTAATTCGGCATTCTGATTTTCATTTCAGTTTCCGTTTTTATAATTCAGCATTCTGATTTTAATCCTGTATTTCGTTTGCAAATCGGCATTTCCGTTTTATTACAGTATTTGAAATTAGGATTACGACATTTTTTTGGTTTTCAACCAACTTGGGGAATTCGAGCGTTTTGGGACCGTAAATCCGGAAATTCCGCCGAATCGCGGAAAATTAGGGTTGGGCCCGAAATTTTCGCGATTTTTTTTTTTTTTTTTCTTTCCCTTGTCTTGGAAATTCCGAAAACGGATTTAGGCCTTTAAAAAACGGATTTTTGCGGTGGAAATTCCCGAAATTTCGCGTTTCTGAAAATTCGAGTGTTTTTTCTCCTGATTTTTTTCCGAATTTTTTTTTGGCAAACTAATCCGAATCTGACCCTCAGCATTGCAACTTCCGGGTAGTTCACTAATTCACCGTGATCTCCCGGACTCCAAGATGATCTCAATGGATACCTAATCTTGATAATCTTGATACAATTCAAATTCGGTCATTATCATTATTGCAAATATTGTTTATTGATTATCATTAAGAATTATTATTTCGTTATTAATCTTTATTGATTAAATAATTCGTTATTATTTTTCTTATTACGAATTTTCGAGTTGTTTATGGGAAAATTTATTTTTCTACTTGATTAGGTGTCTAAGTCCATCCTTGGGACAGGGACTGTATGTATATTGCTTGATCTGTTCGATCCTTGTGGCCACCCTCTCCCTCACACTGCCCTGCGATCCTTCGGACGAGCCATCCTTCAGCAGCAGTTCCTGATGCCAGTAGGGCCATTCCCCGAACAGCAGCCACAACGCAGCAAGAGGATCGCCGATCTCCAACAGCAACAACAACCTCCAGCTCAACAACCGCCACAGACCAGTACTCAGATGGCGAACACGGCACACAGCGGATCATTATCCGATGGTTCGACAGCTAGTAATGGCGAACCCTTACCGGCCTGTCCGGTGCAAGGGTCGAATGAGCCCCTCCCGGACTTCATTCAGAGAATGCAGGACTATACAGCCGCACTCACCCATGTCAAGGAACAGCAAGAGGCTGCCGCAGCTGAAAGACTACGGCTAGCAGAGGAAGCTGCAGCACAAACCCGGCGTCAAGCCGAGGCAGACCAGTTGGCGATCGATCAGCTCAACGCCGACAGCGCTGAACTTGTAATTGCTAATCAAGGACAATGGACAGCGGTGCTCAACGGGATGCGTTATGTCCCCGTACCCGGCAGCGAGCGAACGACAGTGCAACAGGAGAGGCAAGACCTGACAGATATTCTACTCAATACAATGCGCGCCGTCATTTGGAACAACACCATGGGGGAGCTGCATTCCCAGTCCACACGGCAGCTGCAGCACGATCTGAACCACAACGTGAAGACGCTTGCAGCAGCTGTCAAGGTCGCGGACAACCAACTGAAACAGCTAGATGCACGCATTGCTACCTTGGAGGCAAGGCCTCCCCAAGCAGCGCCAGGCTGCACGACAGATATGACAGACATGACGAAGCAGCTCAATGGGCGCATCGATCATGTCGTCAATCTCATTGGCGACATACGTGTTTTCAATGGGCCGGACACGATCAGTAGCACGGTGGCCGCCATCAAAACGGACATCACCAAGCTGCAGACGAGACCGGACGCCGCTACCAAGAATTTCAAGATGCCGCAGTTCACCATCAGCAAGTTCGACGACTACAGACCGACGCTTTGACATGGTGGCAAGGTTTCCTCACGGAAGCATCCTGCCGCACTGTCCCGGCTGAAGACATGTTGAAGGCGCTCTACCTACAACTGATTGGAGGAGCGCAGGAATGGATGAATCACCTGGCAGCTACCAAGCAATGCACTATCGCCGAACTCCACACACACATTACGTGGAAGGAGTTTGAGCAACTATGGATCACCCGATTCATGGTCCGCAACGTCGTGAAGGCGGCCATGAACGAGGTGTACACTTGCTCACAGGGAAATATGCCAACTCGAGACTGGACGATTAAGTGGCAGAAGATAGTGACCACGCCAGGCTTCGATTTGAGTTTTACAAACCAACGATCCGAGTTCTTCTCGCGATCATGCGCAGGATTGCGGTCGGCACTCGGCAACGAGTACGACTATACCTCGTTCGGGGCTATTCTGGACTGCGCAAACCTGGTCATCCAAACGGACGACAAGGCCGCCAACGAGAAGTAGTCCCAGCTGCACTATGTGGCTAAGCTGACCTATCAACGACCAACACATAACAATGCTGTGATTTCTGAAGAAACAGTCGATCTCCACGCTGCAGCAGCATCCTCGAGTGATGGAGGAATTGTAGCAGCGCTCCCGCCGAAGCGTCCCAAGAGAGTTCGGAAGAACAAGGCGACACAAGAGACGGCATCGACGGGAACTGGGCAGCAGCCATGGACGGCATACAAGACAACCAAGGAAGTATTTGACTTACGTCAACGGTACGGTTATTGCCTATGGTGCAATAGTATCGTACACACTACCGCACAATGCCCGGACAAGGGCAAGGCACGCGTATCCCGTCTAGCTAACTCGGGAAACTGAGTTACGCAAGGAGAGGGGCGACGCCTCTCCTCACTCCGTCGGAACCGGTTGCCTTGCTAACAATCCATGTCACTACCAGGGAGCATGCGTTAGTTGCTGGTTCTCGTGCTACGTACGAGGATTATGCCGCCCAGCTGGTACCACCACTAGACCAGCCGAGTCACGTGCACTTAGCTTGCGTATGCGCAGCCTGTACACCGTCGGCAAGTGATCCGGTCAGCTCGCCACTGAGTTCCGAGGACTCGACGACGTGGTCAAGACTTGAGGAGCTTGACCCGCCCACGAGAGAGCACTTCGCTTGGATGCCTCTACCCTCGACCGGAACCTTGCCAAGGCCGCATTGCAACGCCTTGATGGCAACTCTACGCTCCTATTTGCACACTACATTACCAACTCCGTTGATGGACGACGGGGTAGCGGTTGYCGATCTCCGCTCCTATCTTGCGAAGATTGACCGCGAGTACGCCACCCAAAGGTACGCCGAAACCGACGCGCCTTTGCTCTATATCCACATTCAAATTGGAAAGGCAACCTGTAGTGCCTTGATTGATTGTGGAGCGACTCGCAACTTTATGAGCCAAGCCTTTATGGCCCGCGCAGGCCTTGGCCTGCGCGTTCGAAGGAAGACGCAACCCACGCAAGTTACACTCGCGGACGGCCGCACGCAAAAGTCCATTGACCGATGCGTTGACGGCGTTCCAGTCTACTTTGCGCCACTTGCGTGCGAGCCGGTGTCTTTTGACATCCTCGACACCAAGTTCGACATGATTCTAGGCATGTCTTGGGTGCGTAGTGCCGATCATCCGGTGAACTTTCATGACCGAACCGTTCACATCCGTGATCGGAACGGAGTGTGTGTCCCATGTACGGTCGCGACCCCTCACACTTCGATTGCTTGTCACGTGGTTTCCGTTGCGAGAATTTGCGACGCCATAGCTCGGAATGACGTTGAGGAGATGGGCCTTGTATTCTTGCATGCTCTCCCCTCGCCGGACGGACCAGCCGCGTCGCCGCTGGACCCACGCATTTCTCACCTCTTGGACGAGTATAGAGACGTCTTCGAGGCTCCCACCGGAACGGTCCCGGATCGGCCCATACGTTATGGGATCACTTTCGAGACTGGCGCCTTCCCTCTACGTGGATGTATCTACCGTATGAGCGAAGAGGAACTCGAGGTGCTTCGCGCACAACTCGATGACCTTCTCGACAAGGGCTGGATTCGCCCTAGTTGTTTGCCCTACGGGGCCCCTGTTCTCTTCGTCCGGAAGAAGAACAAAGATCAACGGTTATGCATCGATTATCGTAAACTTAACGCACAAACCGTAAAGAACGTCGGCCCTCTCCCTCGGATTGATGATCTTCTTGAGCGGTTAGGCGGCGCGACGTACTTCTCGAAGTTGGATCTGAAGTCAGGTTACCACCAGATTGAAATCCAGCCTCAAGATCGGTACAAGACCGCGTTCAAGACGCGGTACGGGCATTTTGAGTGGGTTGCCATGCCCTTTGGCCTCACCAATGCCCCCGCGACTTTCCAAGCAGCGATGACGACTGAGTTTCGCGACTTGCTCGATCGCAGCGTCCTCATCTACCTTGATGACATCTTGGTTTACCGTAGGACGCTGGACGAGCACATCGTACACCTTCGTGTTGTTCTGGATCGTTTGCGACTAGCCAAGTACAAAGCGAATCTTGACAAGTGCGAGTTCGCCAAGCAGGAGCTTGAGTACTTGGGTCATTTTGTCACGCCTAAAGGCATTCGTCCCTTAGCGGACAAGATCCAAGCCATCGTGGATTGGCCGGAACCCCGTTGCACGACGGATGTACGCTCTTTCATGGGTTTGGCTGGATATTATCAGCGATTCGTCGAGTCATACTCGAAAGTGGCCGCTCCTTTGTCGAGACTTCAGTCCCCGAAGGTGCCCTTCGAGTTCGACGACGCAGCCCGTGGCGCGTTCACTACGTTGAAGGCAGCG